AAAGAAAAAAAAAGGCCCTTTTATTTAGTATGGCAGAAACTGCCTACTGTCTGCCATCTTGTCTCCTTTTGGTAAGAGAACACCACCATGCCTGGCTACCAATATTTCTTGTAGGTAATGTCACCATGTGACTGTTGTGGACAAAGAGACATAAGTAGAAATCATTATTATTGATTAATTTTATTTCTCTCTCTCTCCTCTCTCTCTGTCTCTCTCTCTCTGTCTCTCTGTCCCTGTCATCTCTCTCTCTCTCTCTCTCTCTCTCTCTCTCTCTGTTTGTAGGTTTGAAGAAGACCTGTGGAAGTTGATTCTCTTTCTATCATGTGGGTCCTGGGGGTCAAACTCAAATCATCACATTTAGTGACAAGTGCCTTTACCCACTGAGCAATCTTGACAGCCTACAAGTAGAAAATGTATATGGAATATCCAGATCATATTTTTATAAGGAAGTTGCCTTCAACATTTTCCTTCTCACTTCAACAGATGCAGTGCTCAGGAGGAAGTTCCAATTTTGCTAACTAAGGGACTTTTCTACATGAGAGAAAGAACCTAAGTTTCTGGGTGATCTTAAGCTAGCCCACATCCTGTTCTTCTAGTCTTGGGCACAGACGTACTTTTACTCTTAGCACCCCAGATCTCTGGATTACCCTCTTAATCCAATCTGCCCACTTCGTCCTGATCCCCTGAACCCAGTCTAGTTCAATTCTTCAGGCTAGTTTCTTAGAGCCTTGACATGCTGTTCCCACCCGCAACTTGCCTTTATACACCCGAGATCAAGCTTCTAGTCTGGCTGTCTGCAATCCCAACTTGCCTTGAATTCCCTAGACAAGCCCCCTTCCCTGTAAGTCTGATCCTGCCCATTGTGCCTTGACTCCCCCACAACCTGAGCAAATCCAATTTCCCCACCCCACATCTTGTTCTCCTTCTACAATTGGGCATAGGCCTGCTTTTGCTCCTAGCACCCCAGATCTCTGGAAGGGTACTCTTAACTCCACATGGTGGTGAGCTTTCCAAATTATGCAGTGCCCATCCTTCCACACGGAGACCATCTGCAGTCCCTCCCACTGCTGCAGGGCTAGGCTTTTCTGCCCTTTAGTAGGGTTCCAGAATGACTGCCTGAAAGTAGCTGAATCTGGCCTCTGCACGGTGGTGAGCTTTCCAAACAGTGCAGCGTCCATCCCCGGCTATATTGGGACCACCTACAGCCCCTCCCACTGCTGCAGGGTTAAGCTTCCCTACCCTTTAGTAGGGGCCCAGACCTTTGCAGACTGGCTGAGATCACCTGAATCCAGCCTCCACTTAGCAAGTTCCCAAACTGTGCTGTGCCTGCTAACTAGAGGGGCCCAGACCTTAGGAGAAAGCCTGAGGGCATCTGATTCTCACCTGACCTGGGCCTCTGTGGGAACTCCTGAGTAGCTGGACTAGAGCCATCTGGTCCCTTCAATATAAAATCAAAAGAGAGATCCTGAAGCTTAGACCAGCCAGCTTTTCATATCCAATAAGAAAACAACAAAGTCCCATCAAGTATACAAACAGAAGCAGACTTAACTTCAACAAAGACTTGAGTCTCACACTAGAATCAGAAACAACAAAAGAAATCCACATGCCCAAAACCACAACAAAAGGAGCTGGAGAGATGGCTCAGTGGTTAAGAACTCTGGTTGTTCTTTCAGAAAACCTGGGTTCAAATCCCAGCACCCACATGGCCACTAACAACTGTCTGTAACTCCAGTTCCAGGGGATCTGACAGCCTCTTAGGCTCTTAGTGTCCTCTGTAGGCACTGCACGACATGGGTACATTTACCTACATGCAGGCAACACACACATACACATAAAATAAAAATAATAAATAAAATATTTAAAAAAACACAATCACAACAACAACAAAAATAGTATGAAAAACCCAAGTAATATGTCCCCACCAAACACCAACAGTCCTATAGAGGAGTGCTACAATGAGAGCCCCCTAGAGATAACCCAGGACACAGAATTTGAAAGAACAATCATAAACATGATCAAAGAATTCAATGAATTTAAAGAACACAGAAACAAACAGAGATCAAAGAACCTAAAGAACATAGGGATAAACTTCTGACTGAATTCACAAAAGAGAAATATTGAAGAAAACTCAGGTTGAGATGAAGAAGGAAGTGAAACACTAAATAAGCCAATTAGAAACAACAGGAGAAGCCAGGTGTGGTAGTGCATGCCTGTAGTCCCAGCACTTGGGAGGCAGAGGCAGGTGGATCTCTGTGAGTTCAAGGCCAGCCTGGTCTACATAGTGAGTTCCAGGACAGCTGGGGCTACAGGGAGACCCTGCTTCAAAAAGACAGAAAAAAAAAAAGAAAAGAAACAGGAGAAAACCTCACCAATAGAATGCCTGAAATGGAAAACAGAATGTTAAGACTGGATGATAAAGTTGATGAATTAGACCACTCAAGCAAACACAAAAAATTTAAGAAAACATAGGAATTGACTATATAGGAAATGTGGGACACCATGAAAAGACCAAATTTACACATCATAGGCATACAGGAAAGAGAAGAATTTCAAGATAATGGTATAGACCAGATCTTCAACAGGATTGTAGAAGAAAATTTCCCCAAATTAAAGACATGCCCATACAAATACAAGAAGTACACAGACCACCAAATAACAGGACCAGAAAACAATCTCCCCATAGCATATCATAAATGTACAGAACAAAGAGAGTACTGAAAGCTGCAAAAGAGTCACATAAAAAGGAAAACCCATCAGAATTACAGCTGAATTTTCAGTGCAAACTATAAAAGTCAGAAGAGCCTGGACTAAAGTATTCCCACTTCTAAACACAGATGCCACCCAGAATACTTTACCCAGCAAAAATGTCTATTATAGTTAAAGGGAAGGAAAAATCTTCCACAACATAAATAGGCTGAAAGAATTCATGTCCACAAAACCAGCCTTTCAGAGAATTCTTGAAGCAATACAGAGAGCAGAAGAAAGGAATGAGTATACCCAAGGGGCAACAGAAAGAAAGGAGTAAAGGTATAACTGTGGAAATGCACAGAGACCATGAATGCAAATAGAAATTAAAATGACAGAAACCAAAACACATCTTTCAATAATAATTTTAAATATCAATGGACTGAACTCCCCAGTCAAAAAACACAGGCTAGGTGAATGGATTAAGAAACAAAATCCATCTTTTTGCTGTCTGCAAGAAACCCATTTCAAGGACAGGCACTACCTTAAGGTAAAAGGATGGAAAAGAATAATTCAAGCAAGTGGCACTAAGAAACAAGCAGGGGTTGCAATTCTAGTATCTGACAAAATAGACTTCAAACTAAAACTAATTGGAAGAGATACAGAGGGCCACTTCATCCTGATTAAAGGAACAATTGAACATACGTTACAATTATGAACATATACGCCAACATTAAAAAAAATCAGAAGGAACACAAATAATTGAGTTAACATTACAACTCAAGACACTTGAAAGGCAACAACAAATGAAACCCAAACCTAGCAGCCAAGAAGAAATAACACAAATCAGAGCCAACCCTACTGCTGAAAACAGAACATACTTTGGACATAGGATTTGTCCAAATGGAGGTAGAACTGACCTGGAAGCCACTTCCCCTGAAGACTAGCTCTCATAGCTTTGGAGCGCACTATGAACGTTCGAAGGGGAAACATCAATCGATGGTCCAACACCAGCTTCAAGACCAAATAACTACATCCATGACCTGCAAAGCATATGGCATTGGTGCAGTAGTGGCACTTTTATCTTAGGGGTAATCAACAGGTACCAGATTGGACTAAAAGGCCACTCAATGGGAGGAACATCCAATGTGGTACTGTAAACATAACCAAATACATGGCTCAAGTGGGCATAGATCTTAGAGAAAACCTCAAGAATGTCACATCCTTAGACTAATGTAATTTCTTACTATGTGCAAAACATGTATCTTTATATTTACAGACAAATATCCCAGTCACCACTCATCAAAGAGGCTTTCTTCACAACAAATGGAGACTATTACCAAGTACCAAAACTGGTCACACACAGACATTGTCTACGAATTGCCCAGGCCTAAATGACACATCTACAATGCAATCTCTACACTTAAGGCTCATGGACCACAGAACAGGGGTAAAGAAGAGGACGTTAATGGATTGCTCAATTCTCATAAATGAAGCTTACTCATGCTACAGAGGGCCAGGAACACAAAAGGTCACAAATGGTCAAAGCGTATAGTCTATAGAATGCTGGTCCTTGAACTCCTATATTAAACTTCACCCACCCAAGGCCCAGGAAGCACTGCAGAAGGAGAGGCTGAAAGATTATAAGAGTCAGGGAGGAGGTGCACAGCCATATGGAAATAGAGTCCTTTAAGCTCCTGGGACCCTGCTCATATGAATCTATGGCAATGGTGTCAGCATACACAAGTCCCATGCAAACCCAAGCAGACAAAAACCCAGCATAGAATTGGGGAAATGGATAGCAGACCCCAATCTTAGTTGAAAAAATATTGGCAACTGATTACTGCTAGGTCAGGAAGAGCTGATCTTCTAAAGCGACAGACCCTAGATAAGCTGACTAGACCTCAGTAGATGAACTTGAACTGAGGAACGTCTGGGGACACTAACTTGACACAATAGGCCTTAACACAAATGACAGAATGTATGAATTCCAGTGGGGGGGCTATGTGAGGGTGCCAGTGGGGACAGGGGTATAAAGATGATTAAGATTGATTGAGATGTTCTATATGAAATACACAAAAATTAAATTAAAAAAATTAAAAAAAACCCAAAACTAAGCTAGCCTAGCAGAGCATGGTGATGCATGCCTCTTGTAGGAGGATTGACAGAGACTGGCTGGGGATCCACAGCAAAACCTTGTTTCAAAAATGAAAATAAACAAGCAAACAAACACACATAAACACACTAAGCTACCCTGCCATTTGTCTTTGGGCTGTTGAGAGAGAAATGAACTATTGTATTTAAGTGACTATATTTTAGGTGTCTTTGTTATAGTGGCTTATTCTATACTCCTATATTCATAATTAAAAATGTAAATTATAACCACACTTACACCTCATTTTCTACCTACCATACTGCTATATAAATAAGCCAAAATTCGTCTGTAAGGCCATGAAACCGAAATATTTGGTCAAATAATAGTCTACACATTGTTGTGAAAGTACTTTTTAGATGAAACTAGTATTTAAATTTAAAGGAGACTAAGTACAGCTGATTTCCTTCTATAATGTAATATGGGTAGGCCTCATCTAATCAGAAGACCTTGAAAGAAACGAAGAGAGAAAAAGAAAGAAGGAAAGAAAGAAAGAAGAAGGAAGGACAGATTTCTCAGACTGCCTTTGGATTTGAGGTGCACAATCAACTTTTCCTTGGTCTCAGGTCTGCCCCCCCCCTTGTCAGCTTCTACCATCACATGAGCCATTTCTTTAACAAACTCAGTCAGTCCCTCTCTACCCCACTGGTCCCATTTCTCTGGAAATCTTTGAGTGGCAGTGTTTTTATTCAATTTAGTTTGACTCAATTTGTAGGAATTTGCTGATCTACTATCTGCCGCACAGAGCTCTAAGGCCTGAAGATAAAACACAAAACAAGACATGGGTCCTAACCCCAAGAGCTCCCTAGCCTACCTTAGAAGACGCTAACAAATAAACAAGCAGTTGTGTATTCTAGCCAGGTAAGTTCTATGGCATGTAAGTATAGCCTCCAAAGCATGGAGGATAAGGAGTAACTCCCCAAGGAGTGCTATTGGACAGTCACCATTGCCCACCATGAACCCATTCTATAAAGGGTGAATAGGTGTGTGTCAGATGCAAAGCCCTTCACAAGGGAGACCATTAGTTTTACAAAAATGAATTAAGCATTGTTTTAAGACTTTAAAGTCTTTATGTCTAGTGAGAGGGAAACATATACACAGGTACCAAGAAAGGGAGAATAAATAAAGTGCTAGCAATATACAAAAGGTCTTCCTGATCTAAGTAAGGAGAAGGTGTCAGGAGTCAAATAATCAGATTGCCCTCTATTTGAATCTACCTAGAGACAGAAAGAATTAGAAAATACTCCTTATGAGGTTTTCCTGAAAATATAAAAAGTTGGATGGAAGGGAGGGAAGAAGGAAGGGAGGGAGAAAGGAAGGAAGGAAATGAAAAGACTACTGTAATTATTTTCAGACTGTCGTATTAAATAGATAACAGGCTCAGGAGGGTGAAGTGACTTGCTGACAAAGATTCTCTCCTTGGCCAAATCTTAGACTCCTTTGAGTCTTTTTTCTACTAGGTCTTGTCATCAGGAGCCCAGGTGAAGCAAGAACCCTGTTAAATGAGTTTAATGAGAATACCTCATCTTCCACATCTTACCTTTCTCATTTCTCTCCACCAGGCCGCCCCTACCTCCTTCCAGGTGGCACCAATCATCCTGAACTATATTCAGCAAGAATCTTGCCAGATCAGGTCAGCAAAATAAGTTTTCTTTCTTCAATAATAAATTAACCTTAGCTTACTGTAACTTTTAAACTTATACACTTTAAAAATTTTAAACACTTTTACTTTTTAACACTTAGCTTAAACACACATTAGCCAGCATGCAAAAACAATTTTTTA